ATCCAAACCCAACCCGGGCCGCGCGCTGCCAGGCCTGGCCGGGCCCAGCCCCGGGGCAGCCGGGTGCTTTGCCTCTTACCGGTGCCCAGGCCAGCACAGCTGCCACACTCCCAGCTGGCCCTTCTGCTTCCCAAAGAGGAGCACCGCCTGTGGGTGCCCTCGGCAGTGCAGGAGCGGCACAGGAGCAGTTCCCACGGCCTGGGGAAGCAAAGGGGTTCATGGCTGTGAGGACAAAGTGACCGCAGCACGGGATGGTCCCGCAGAGCTCTTGTTCTCAGTCCTTCCCCTGGGAGCCCTGGGCGAGACAGAGATCCTGTGCAGGGCCCCAGGGTGCAGTGCTGACAACTCACCCCTCTTCCTCTGCCTGCTCCCTGCCTCCTGGGCAGAGGCACTCCCTGGCGTCGCAGCGGATGTGCCTCTCACTTTGTGCTGTGTATCTCTGTCTCTCCTCCCGTGATGGCGGACTGATGGAGAAAGGATAATTGATGAGCACACGCTGTCCTGGCCTGAGGCTGTACAGTGCGTCCTTGCTGTACCCCCCTGCCCTGTTTCCAACTCCTCCGTGAAGCTGAAGCCCAGACTCACGGGACAGTGGAGAGCCAGGACTGTTGGGGCAGGCCCTGGCATGGCACAGCGCTTGCACCCTCCTGTCTTGTGAGCTGGGCAGAAGGACACCAACCTGAAGAAGATCCGGATCCCCATAGTGAGCATTTCCATCGTGAATCGGTATTCATTTCGACAATGTGGGCAATGGAAGCCAGAGGCACTAGCGTGGATAGCCTGATTCTGGATGCAGCCTCTGTGGAACCATGCATGTTTGCACGCTGGGCACACCATGGTGCTGTAGGACTTTCCGTCCTCCACACGGTCCAGGCAGATGAGGCAAGTGGTTTCCTGTGCCGGAGCCACCTCCAATTCCTGCTCCGGGCGGTGCTCCCAGCAGAAGGACCTGGGGAGAAGAAGAAAGGTATGGGCGAGGTGTGAAGTGCTGAGCCCTTCCCCAGTGGTGGCGATGAGGAGAGAGGAGGTGGGAAGGACGTTGCCCTGCTCTGGCTCTGCCTGGGTCCAGCCGCCTGGAAGTGTCACTCTGGGTTCCTTTCTGGTTTTGTTGATGCTGTCTGGAAACAGACTAAAGGAACGAGCCTCCCCTGCGAGGGCCAGCTGGCCTTACCTGTAGAGCCCAAAGAACTGGGTGACGCATCCACCCTCCACAGCACAGGGAAGATGGAAACTGCGGTCGCAGCCTGTCTCCCGGCAGGTGATGGTGGCCCCACTCTCGCCACAGACGACACAGTGCTGGAAAGAGCACAGCTCCCATCAGCAGCAGCCAGTGCTGGAAAAAGCACAGCAGCCCCCATCAGCGGATTGGGCCATGGCTGGGTCACAGCCTGCAGATCCACCTGGCGGGGGAGGCTGCTGTGCCACAGAGGAGGAGGCTCTGCGGAGCTGCTGGGAGCAAGACATTTGTCCCAGAGCTGCTTGGGAGGGCTGGGATTTCTTCCTTGGGGTCTGGGCTAAGCTCCGGCAAACCTCTCCCGGCACAAATCTCCCTGTTCTTCTCAGGTCCTCACCTTCCGTTCCGCCTGCTTGATCACACGTCTGATATCTTCCAGGCGAACTCCACCCCTATTTTGTTCCTTAGAAAGCTCTTTGACAAAATGCTGCAGGAGAGAAAAGACGAAGAGCTGATGAGGAGAGGAAGGCAGGGACTACCTGTCGGGAAGCTGGAGGGAGCCCCGAGGAACTCACCAGGCAAAACACGTGGGCATAGAGGCCTTGCTTTTCCAGCTTTCGCCCGCAGATAGCCGGGTCAGCCTCTGCCCGGCGACACAGCATGCACACTGGAGGGGAGAGAGCAAAGGGCGCCGGGAATGAGCACCTCAGCGGGGCCGGGGGACGCGTCCCTGAGGGATTGCCCCCCGGGGCCCGTCTGGCCCTGCCTGGCTGGCTGATGGTCAGGGCTGGAGGCCGCGGGGAGGAAGGGGGCATTGCAGGCAGGGCTGTCCCAGCAGGTGCCCACTGCCCAGCCTGGGCCCCGCGTGCTGAGGAAAGGAGGGGCCCTGCCCCGGGGCGCTGGGGGAGCTCCTGCCTCCCCCGGCCACCGCTCTCGGCCCCACGCTGACCGCCCCACAACCCCTCTGCCAGGCTCTGGCAGGGACACTTTGCTCTCACCCTGCTGCGTCGAGGCGGGGGCCTTCCGCGTTCTTGCAGGCATGGCACACATCAACGATGAGCGTACGGAGAGTCCAAGTCCCAGCAGCGCCGGGCTGTCTTCTCCAAGTGCTCCTCTGCTGACCCTGAGGGAGAAGCGGGACACGGGGGAGCTTGCAGCACAGGCCCAGAGCCCCGAGGTGTGGGGCCCCCCTCCTCCCTCGGCAGCCCCGTCCCTCCGCTGCCCTCTCCTCACCTCACCAGGTCGCACTGATGCCCGGCCGGTGCCCTTTTATAGCCTTGGCCCCGCGTGTCACAATGGCCACCGTGACATCAGCGCCGCTGGCCTGGCCCGCCCCAAACACGGACAGGGACGCCCGCGGCCACCTGGCACCCACTCTGAGACGGCCACCGCCTCACGGGTGAGCCTGGCCCGGGCTCACACAGCCCCTCTGCTCAGGTGCGGCGGGTGGTCGGGGCACCGCAGAGGACCGCAGGAGAGCACCTCCATGTCGCAGCCGGCCCAGCGTCTTCTCCTGGACTCCTTAGTGCTTTGGGGACGTGCTGCCTCCAGAACAAAAAGCAGTGGGACCACAAGCTGGGGAGTCACGGCAGAAACGGCCTTTTTCCATGGCAAAAAACCTGCAAGCAAGCGGCTGTGGGGCAGCTTTGGAGGCAGTGGATGGGATCGTTGATCTGTCTGAGGGTAGAAAGGCTCTACAGAGGGATCCGGACAGGCTGGGTCCATGGGCCGACGAGGGCTGTCAAGCACTGGAACAGGCTGCCCAGGGAAGCGGTTGAGGCACCATCCCTGGAGGTGTTTAAAAGATCTGTGGATGTGGCACTTTGGGACATGGTTTAGTGGCGGACTTGGTAGTGTTAGGTTAAGGGTCGGACTCGACGATCTTAAGGGTCTTTTCCAACCTAAATGATTCGATGATTCTCACTACAGTTCAGTTATTGCTTAAGCACCGTTTGATTTGCCTTCAATCGTCTATTGATTACCACTCGATCATCGCTTAAGTGTTAATAAAGCCCTTAGTTAAGCCCACAACGATGACTTCTCTGAATAATTCATCTGAAGGCCTTCTACAGTAGTAGCTGGCTGACACTGCTGAGAGGGACTAGAGGCTTCCCAGCAGGCTGTTGCAGTTTTTACTCAGCCTTCTGGCTCCAGGGCATTACAGAGCTCCGTGGGGAGATGCCGACAGAGGTGAAGGGTGCAGGGAACGAGCACCTCGGACCCCAGCAAGGCTGTGCGCGGCCGCAGCTCTTTGGCCAGCTCCATTCGAGCTCCATTGCTCGGGATTGTTTCGGAGCTCATGCTGCTATCCATTCCCTGAAGAGCACGACCTGTTCTGGCCATGTCTAGACCTTCACGTCTTCCCAATCACG